GGACGGTCGACAGAACAAAAGAATTAACCGATCCTGAAGAGGTGAATTTCTTGGGTATTTACTCAGGGTCTTCTCAAACCGCTAGGGCCTACGCCAGGTGCTTGTTTACTCGAGTTTTCGCGCCGCTAGAAAACTTGACGAGTATTTGAACATGGCTTACGTGCGAAATTGAAAGATTACAAACCGTCCCAGACCCCCCCTCTGCAAGACAGTGCGAAAGAGTTTGAAGTCCAGCAGTACAAAGTTGGCTCAAAATCCCGAGTAAAATGTCACCATCTTCGCGCATGCGTGTGAAGCCCAATACCCATGAAAAGGGATGGTTCGGGTACACGGCACGAAATCTCGTTAACTCTCGTTTCGCTGCGAAGAGATTACGAATCAAGTTCTTGAGCATTTTAGTCAACTTACTCCTGACAAAAAACATAATCGAATTTGTTGTTCTCATACTTAATAAGAATATGAGAGAGATTATGCCATGATACGGGTTGTCGTAATGGGAATAATAGTGGCTTCAACACTGCAAATGACACGCAATCCATATGCAAATGGAGTGTAATGTCTTACTTCCATCGACTATTCATAAAATCATATCGAATAATCGGATATGTAAACGCATCGCTGATGTGGACGCTTATGCCTAGAAATAACGACACCGCGAAAAGCGGATCCTCGAAGCAGACGTTAGCTGCGTCGGCAGACGATAACACCAATCGGAACAGACTCAGAACTTTCTCTCGTAACCCTTAACCCCCGGCCGTGTCCGCATCTTCAATTCAGGGTAATTCCTGGCTGTTATCATCTCCTTGTCTCAAATTAAGCGCGAGCGTCTGACATTCCGCCTTCCCTCCCGCTCACCATGTTGTGAAGCTACACGTGAGACTTCACAAGGAAGAAGAGGAAGATCAACACCGCACAGACATAGTACTGGAGAATAAAGCATATTTCATATTCCATATCTTTTCATTGCGCGAGAACTCCACACATCCCCCAAACGAGTTAATGCGAACTGCAAACAGGGTTAAAATAGCGAAAGGTCAATGCGGAGGTTCGTACTCCACTTTAGTAAATTAAGTCGGATAGCGGTTCAGTGATGTCGGGCAATTTGGATACATGATAGATAGATATCATATCAGTCTCATGCAAATCCCCGAGCTTTGTTGGCCTCGGTTGTAACTGGAGCACCAGACGTGTGTGGAGGGGCATTATATCTCCGCATCTAACGCTGGCGGTGAGATAAACATTGATACATCATCTCAATTAAAGGATTCTGATACATCATGGTGTTTCTGTGGCACAGGGAGCAGAACTGTTCATATCTAGGGCATTGGTTCGTTATTCAAGGAGGGAAGACACTCCAAGTCTTTGGTCAAGCCAGTCTTATTGTTTTCTTCAGCAGTCAGAGCTTTTGTGGTCGTTTCGTATGTTGCAAGCTAGTTCAATGTTGTTTTGACAGTTTTCATGGATACACGAGTGCATCTTTTTCAATACTGACATTTGTCACACACGAATTTGCTTTCCGTTTATACGTCCAGGATGCAGATTCATTCATGTTTATTTGTATCTTGCTTAACGCCGCTCTCAGCACTATTCCAGCAGAGTGACGGCATTCTGTAAAATCGACCAGACTATTCAGTGATTGACACCATGAGCATCGATCTATGCAATTAGGTTACGATGACATGCATCAAGCACCTGATCACCTGATCCCGCTATTCTCATAACACAAGCATGGGTTACTGATGACCATTTCTAATCCGGGTCCTCCCAGGTCTTCACTCAAGTATTGTCATGGGTGGAATGAGGTCATGGTACCACTGTGATAAGGAGATAAGGAAACCCTGGGGCATTACGATGGGAGATGGGACGATTATCTAGATGGACACACCTCTGGTGTATCGTTAACACACACTCCATCCGGTATAGTGGATGACAGTCATCGGTCTCACTGGGTGTTCTATTTTATAAACAACAAACACAAAACCGATGTATACGAGGATATACTGGTCACACATGCAGTTGATGGTAGACATAGGTGAAAGGTATAAAATTGTACGCGGTATGTCGCATGCCACACGGTGATGACGCCCCCCTTCAACTTGGGAATACACCGGAAGTGCACCCATCCCATCATGCAGGGCACACGCATTCAGTTGGGGTTATGTGTTATAAAGGCAGGTACCTGATACCTTATGGTATTACACCGAGTGAGTGAGTTAAACGCCGCTTTGAAACAGTACCTATGTCATTGCGTGCCAGCTTCAGATTGGGAGGAAAACCAAGAGGTTTTCATACTCATTCACCACTATCAAGGAAACCCATTAACATGGGTTTGGAACAGACAAACCAAAGATCGTAATCAGAGAGAAGCTAGGATTCGAACCCAACTAACAGTATGGAGAATGGACATGGGGCAGGGATGGTAGAGAATACTGCTCTCTGCAAACAGAGGCGCTAGAGACATGACTCGTCAGGAAACGTAGACTTCGTGTCGGAATTCAAACGCCATCAGAGATAGGAGAGAGCTTAACAAATGGTATCTTTTTTACTTACGCTTCATTTGCTACGATGCTATTGCTCCCACGGCCGGATTGCCGGATGCGCACTTTTTGTATCTAATTAGGACTAGCCGTTTTAGGCCTTGGTCCTAATTCTTTAACGAAGGCTTGCTAATACAGCATCAAATTTATGACTAGAAATCTGCAGTCTTCATCAAAGGACTATAAATTCATTGTGTCGTAAACACCGGCAAACGGCAGACCCTTCGCACCGCAATTATCTTAACTGGTTCGCTCAACACAATAAGCTGCTACACAACACCATCAATAAAAACAGATCAAACTGGCGATATGTCGTGGAGGAATCAGCTTTGATTTCATATGCTCCAACACTGCGCGGCTGCCGTGGCCGTTTTTATGACCACATCGTACACGGGAAAATATTATAACTGGAGTGGCATTTGACCGTGTTATTATAAAAACTATCAAAGATGAAGCTATTTTATTGCTATGCGTGACGTGGGAGGGGGGGGGGGGGGGGGGGTAGATTGGGATTCTTCCCGACTAATTGGGCATAGTAAAAGACAATCGGAGGGCTCAAACCAGCCTTTGATCCTCGGTGGTTTTATATCACCGGGCATAGGAGAAGGAATCAATGTTGGGTTACAATGATAGGAGCAAGATAACGGTAATTAAGCTGGTCATATGGTTCCCTGTAAATATACTGTTGATCTAAGGAAGATAGTTTTATTCTAATGATTTGTTTCTTGGTTATAAATGACTGTAAAAGTCAAATATCGCAGCGGATACATCTTTGTAGGTAGTTGATGCGCGAACTCTTTTGTACACGACAGTGTAATTACATTTGTAATATAACATTTATATAATGTTATATCATGATATCTGAACATATTTTCCTTTACTTCTACTGTATCTGGGGGTTAGACATGATGTTCTTTCAGGCTTAGAGTTAGAAACTGTTTGCAGATATTCTAACCAGCTTTTTTTGTTGAATAATTCCACTGTAGGAAACCGGATTTTGAGCTTAAAATAAGCCAAAAAAAGGCAAAGCTGCGTCGTAAGTTTTTATGACAACTAGTTATTGCCGTGTTGTATCTTCTGCGGCAAAAAGATACATGATCACGTGGTTTCAGCGTTCTATCTGTTAAGCAAACATAGACGTCTGGAATAGCCGACCCAGGAACACCGGCCACATCCCTGTTGGAACATTCAGTGCGGAGGAATATTTCTTTGTCACTATTATGTGCTTTCGAGTAGGGCACTTCTTCATGTGGCGGATTAATATCAGTGTTTACATCTGTGTAAGGTGACTCAAAAACTGGCATTGCCCGACAGTAATACGCACTCCGGGACGGACCAGGAACAGATAAACCGATTATCATATTCTGAAGGTATATGTGTTTCGGCCCCAAGGCGACCTTAAACAACGGAAAACATACCGATGGATGTTTTATGTGCACACACTTGCAACTGAGTGTTCAAGAAAAAAATATCAGTCTTTTACCTATTAAGTCGGGGGTGGGGATCGGGTTGGGGCGGGGTATAATGCAGTCTTGTTACCCCCTACGCTCTAGTTGACATACTTTCTTTAAATTGGTGACAAAATTTCACACCTAGCAGAGATTTGTATGGCGCATGTCATAAATTATTAATACAAAAGGGCTTGTCTTGGGGACACGAGTTGAAAGTTAACAGCAGTATAGGGAAGGTACCAATTTGAAGTGCATTGTCTGAGAAAAGAAATCGTTACGTCGATATATAACCGGTATGCAATTATGTCTCGTCAGTTAGAGATCAAACGAAAACGGTTGACCCTTGCGGTTTTGCTAAACTACAGTTATCCCCCTTTCTTTGTGGTGCGAGGAGCTTTGGGCTATGTGTGGACAAGCTTCTTGTAATGGTTGCAGCGGTGTAGAGAAGCTTGTAGGTTGGCTCTGCGAGTGATGCACGCCTTGAGATTAGGATAGTTTGCTACAATTACAGCCGCTGCCATAAGAAGAGCGATAGTAATCATATCATTTCATTACAAACCCCTAGCGTTTATTTTTAGCACAAGTGTCAAGAGGGCTCGTTCGACGTGTTGGAGAGTGTGAAACATTCACGATCCAACCAATCAGCGATCAGCTTGCTGTGTTTGTTTGTAGCCCGTTTTGACAGCTTGGTTGGTGATACAGGATATATCGCCCAGTGGGCGGGCCCTTAGTAGGCGGAGCTAACACCTCGCCCGACAGTTGACATATCTAGGCTCCTCCTCTTGACCCACATTCTCGTTCTAGGCTGTCGGCTTATTCTTTCATGCACAAGTTGGCTCGGTCATTACAGGGTGTACCGTTGTGGCTAGAGGATAGTACCTACAACTTTGTTAGATTGAAGCGAATTTACTTGGCAGAGATGTAAGGATTTGTTAGTGTGAGCCGCTTGTACTCTGCTAGAAGTGTCACAATGATTAATGGCTGATGGAACGGTGTGTTTTCCTGTTATCAGAGCGTCAGAGCGGTTCCCAGCGCGAGGACAAACAGCACGGGCAGCGGCCGGGATCCTACAGAGGCGGCCTGTATGGAAGGGCATGGAATCGCGGTGCTGTCTTAGCCCGCCTCGACACCCGCTAACCACCCTCGTCTTTTTCATAAGTCTGGCCATGCTGTCGAGATCAGGTGAGTCAAATTTCATCCCTCCCCTCTTTGAATTTGTGCCGAAACTCGCTCCGTGTTGTTAGCTTACCTCGAGATTCGGGCAGGTAGGCTCCATTAGTGTTAGCTAAAGAAGTAGGTTACCCCTTGCTCGACACCGGGGCCGTCGGACGCTCCGATATAAACTTATATGACATTGTTAAATTGTGGTGTGTTTTTGTAAATTGCAGAAGGATTTCCTAGCAGCTCAGGGTGCAAAGTGGACATGTGTTGGATGAGCTATCAAAGAGCCACAGATATTCTCCCAGAACCGTTGAAGAACGATGACCGGTGCAGTGCCCTCCGGACATACATGAATTGTATCAAATCAACTGCCCGTGGGTGTCAAGGAGATATTCGATTTTATAGTGTCCGAAATGGAGTGAAAAATCAAATGAAATCTTATAATTGTACGGAGTTCGGACCGACAGTGGATCCCGATAAACATACGCCTGTTCGCCCAACGATACCCGAGGTGTGTACGTACCAAGGAAAGAAGGTGTATAGACAGTGTGGCTTGTTCGGGGATCCTCACCTCAGGACGTTTTATGACGAATACCAAACTTGCAAAGTGAAGGGAGCATGGCCCCTTGTCAATAATAAATACCTGACAGTCCAAGTTACAAACGATCCCGTGACGGGACACAATGGAGCTACCGCAACCAGCAAGGTTGGTATTTAAACTAATATATTATGTTTACACACACACTCAACCCCCGACACTGAAATATAATTTCCCAAATCTTCCCCCTCGCCCTGTCCCCTCAACTAGTTTAGCCTGACCCAGAAGGCCTGTGTTGGTTGTGGCAGGCAGCACCTCGCCGACCCCTCTGTAAACAATACATTCTCTTTTGTTCACGGTAAAATGCCACACATGCTCCTTCAAAAGCAGCTTAGCTGTGACTTGATGAAGATATATAATGACAGAACATTACTTAAGAACATGTTAGGTATCGTCAGTGACGGGGGATGCGCTAAGAAACACGTGAACATGCAACAAAGTAGCGAGAGAGTCGCGAGGAGCTATGGTCTCGCAATCAATATGTCCGCCATGTTGGTTGGAGCATTCGGGTCAATAACACTCGCTGCTTCATTCTTAGTAGACGGGAGCGAAAAGAGGGGCCGAGGGCACAAGGGGAACACGTTAGCTTGCTAGAGTAAATAGGTTTTTGGAAGATGGTGGTGTACCTTCTCTCCGGCCCACTGTACTTGTCTCCAAGCGAGCTGAAAACAAACACGAGAAAGGGAAGGCTATTGGCCCCCTCGCCGAAGTTTGCCTGACCCCCCCTCGCGCCATATTCAAGTCAAGTTTAGTACTACTAATTCTCATGATTGAAATACGGGTAGTAATCTATCCTAATTACAGTTTCCCTTTCAGAAATATTTTAATGTTATTGATAAAAAAAGTTGGGAAAGAATTTTTTCTTATAATTGAACCAGATGAGTTGCATCTACTTAAGAACACTTTTGTGGGTAAAATATTTTATGCATTTAGAGTAAGTTCTAATCCATGCATGTTCAAAGATGTCCAACGACAATAAGTTATCTCAGGTTAATATGAGATCTTTGTAATCTCAAATAAGTAAGTGTTTACACAGTTAAGGGTTTAATTGCCCTCGGTCCAGTGACAATCTACTAATTGCCTATTTGCTTTTTCGGTAACGAGGGCGAGGAGCCTTAACTAACAAGGATGCAAGGTACTACAACACTGTCTATTATGCCCCGCCATTCCAGTTTGCACCTATATAATTCCGAGAGAAAATAAGGGTTGTTATTGGCCTTAATTGGGCCCTGCTCGCCTAGCCCCCGACCAATCAATACCACATAATAACATCCTAATAGAAGGAGACAAAACTGGCTTAATATTGTTTAAGTCTTGACTTAAGATATCCATATAATTAGAGGACAGCCCAAGGCTTGATTCGATTTTTAATTGGAATTTCATATTTTTACATCGTTTGAGCGAAAAATAACCCCGATTTTTGTATGTTACTGAAGCTGCATAAATGGAAGTGAACCTTTAATATCGTTTTGATATCTGTAATGTTCATCAGAGCAATTATAGTGATATCATTGTGATAGTCTGTAGAGAATACAATGTTATTGTAAGAATTATTGTTATAAAATACAATCTTAAGAACTATTGTTATTGAATACAATATTTTAAGAATTATTGTTGAATATAGTATTATAAGAACTATTGACACTGAGTACAGTACTACTAGAACTATTGTTAATATATACAGTAATATACGAATTATTGTTGACAAGTTGAAAACGTAACATTGCCAGTGTGAATTTAGTGTTTAGAAAAACACATCACAACCAGGCTGCTGATTCACGTCTCTCCCGCACATGACAACCGTAATGTTTTTAAAACTCTCTCCACACAGTGCTTGACAATGACAGATGGGCTAAACCAGTGTGGTGACGCTACTATTTCCGTGAGATTAACTTTTATTGGAAATGTAACCATTTTTAAAGCGACTATCAGTCTTGTAGATACGTACACGAGGGACGTATATTGGCCGGTTTACGAGTTTCGTAAGATCTTTTTAGGAAGTCATTGTGGGTATATGTGCAATTCAGTATTGATGTATTGAAATGAAGTTAAATAACCCATGACTTTAAGAAAGTATATATAGTCATGTTCATTTACAAGACAGAAAACGTAGGTACCTTCCTGCCCCATGGTACACCCTAGGAGTTTTATCGTAAGGTATGCATATATATCTGGAAGAGTAATTGATAGCAATCACATCATGGTCGGACAGGTGTCTTTGACTGGTGAGCAGAGAGAGACACGATTCCCCCCCTCAAACTACCTCCTGCTGATGTAGTGGTGTTATGAGGTGGCAGGACTCCCACAAACTAGATCTACCTGTTCGTTTGCTTGTGTGTAGGTTTTGACAGTAGATTCATACCAGTTTTCATATAGTCCATTAAACACCATTAAAGCAGTTTAGACAAATGTTATGAATATCTAGAAGTTGTTCCGTATGGGCAACGTACACTCTGCCTGGGGCTGGTGATAATGTCCACATTTGCTACAGAATAACGTGATTCAGATTAGGAAACTATTTCAGCAGGTTACTCAGTTTAGGAGGTTGCCTTTGTCACTGACCCCGTGACCTACATAATGGCGTTTCCAAAATACTGGTTAGGAAATCCCATCGGACGCAACCGATCTGTACAACCAATACAACACTAGCCAGGGTGGAGCAGTTTCTTGTGTCATGGTCGTGGAAGGCAGGGTCAGGCTTCCTACCTACACTGGAGGGTACCATCCACCTACCATCCACTCACCCACCAACCCTACCATCCACTCACCCACCGACCCCACCATCCACCGACCCTACCATCCACTCACCCACCGACCCCACCATCCACCGACCCTACCATCCACTCACCCACCGACCCTACCATCCACTCACCCACCGTCCCCACCATCCACTCACCCACCGACCCTACCATCCACTCACCCACCGTCCCCACCATCCACTCACCCACCGACCCTACCATCCACTCACCCACCGTCCCAACTCAATTTGACCCATTTCTGACCCATCTATAATACATCCGTGCTCCCATCTAGCCGTTCTTCTACCATTCATCTATGCACATATCTAGCCACCCTGCTACTCACCCAACATACATCCATCTAGCCGTTCTTCTACCCACCTACCATAATCTGAGCACCCATCTAGCCGTTCTTCTACCATTCATCCGTGCACCCATATAGCCGTTCTTCTAAACACCTACCAGACACCCATGCACCCATCCAGCGATAGAAAGAAACTGCTTTAGTCCACTTGTCTTTATAATGATGATATAGCTATTGGGCAGTTTGGCAAGGACTATAGGACTAGTGCCAATTTCTAAAGCCGCCATCTGGCCGTTCTTCTACCCATCTATCTGCTTGCTCATCCATCCGTTCACCCAGTTTCACCCACCTTTCCTTTTATTCATCCCCTAATCTGCTATCAAACAAGGTTCAACCGTCTGTATGTACAGATGTTTGGCTAATCCATACCATAACATTAAATACACCCAAACCTATCAAACATTGGCCAAACACGACCGTCTATGACGACTAGGACCAAGACGTGTAGAAGCCAGGCGGAATGTAGACATATTTGCATTCCGAATAAAAGGTGCGAGAAGCCATGTTGAGGATTTATGTAGCTATTATAGATGACACCTGTCAGGACCTCGCTGCGTCACCCACTGCAAGGAATCGTCCACTCTCTCCTCTCTCAAGCGCTGAAGTCGAGAAACTGTGCTTTCATCATGTTATTCATATTAACAGCTGTATCGAATGGAAATTGCTGTTCGGTGCCCAAGGGCGTTTCGAAGGCTCTGAAATCAAACCTATTAATTTGATTTAGAAAATGTAGATTGTTTTGCCAACATCAAGGGTAAAAACTTTGAAGGATTGATAGAATTGTACAAGTTAGACACTGGGTTCTAGTAATTAACTAATACATGGGAACTTGTTTTATGACGTACACACGTTAATTGAAGGGAGCGAAATGAATGTTCAAAACTGAAAATTTCAAGAAAGGCATGGTACCGCCTAAATCAGACCAAGCTTAACTCGGCGAATTCCAAGATGGCGTAAAAACAAACAAAAGTGATTTGGACGTGTGAGCGGGTACAAGACTTATACACCAACCTTGCATGTACACGAAAACCGGTGCTGTGAGATCTGCCCCTGTGCTATGTAGGTAATTACATCGGCTTTCGCCGTGGACCGAGAGCAAGCACACATCCCCAGTGAAGAAAGCAGCGCAGCGGAGGGCACTATTCATTAACATCACGCTTTCTGCTACGTTTCAATGAACGTTGGAATTCGTGGGCATTGCTTGACACCGTCGGCCAGTCGTAGTGACGTACACGGTGTTTACAGTTAAAGTAACACCGGCTCCTATTCCTACGCGTTCCTGTCTTCAAGGCTCCTTACGAAATGTCATGGACTATTTTCAGCGAAACCTTCATTTGTAAGGGATTTGGGAAGACTGAGAGGTTGCGTTGTATGTACTCTCACGTGAAATATGTCTAAATCGCCGATTGTCAAACGTCGGCATGTTTCGTGAGAACATGCTTAAATGTGCACTAATTAGGATTAAATGGAGAGGGATTGAATACTACGTAATTTCGCGAAGTGAATAATCCGCTCCTCAAGTTCCCTTGCATGGAAATCGATGTTATGTTTCAATGTATAGAAGAAGTACCCATACCACATGACTCGCATATTTGTAGGTAGTTTGGTGGTATCACGACAGCATAGGTGTACGTGTTCTCATAGCCCAAGACAACAACCCTACTGAGTAGGAGGCCTGACTAAATGTGCTGCCAATATTTGACTTCACGTGACCCTGCCATGTTCACTTGTTAACTGTATTTACGTATACGACAGAAAACAAGATTCATTTTAACTTACATGTTTGCTTTAAGTAATTAACGCCGCTTCCGTGGTCTAGTGGATGGAGAGTCTGCCCGTAAAACGGAAAGTCGGTGGTTCGATCCCCGGCCGCATCCTACCAAGACGTAAAACTATGGTACTTTTGTTTCCGTGCCTGACCGTATTATGACAAGCACACACACACACGTACACACGCACACGCGCGCTCAACTGTTCATAATGTCTGTTTGAGATCTGGAATAAAATTGTCCCTGATCAATGTGTGTGTAACATGTCAAGTTTTTATACAGACCTCTGTGCACTATCATCATGGATGTCGAATATTGTTTTCGAAGGTGTTGCATATGTTTATTATTGGAAATATTTGTGAGTTGACGCGACGTACTTGAAATTACCTTGTTCCTCTATCTGTTTCAGCTAACTGTGATAATCAAAAAGAAGCCGGAATGTTCGTCAGATAATTTCCTTATGTACCAAGCTCAGACGGACTATCTTCCCGGGTCGTTCTACGACGGGAAGACCCACTACGGCCAGCATAAGAGCGTGGAACTCGTAGAAGTGGAAGCGGGGAAGAACGTTGAGATTCATATTCATTACATCGAAACTACACTAGTGTTGCGGCAGATTGGACGATATTTCACATTCGCCATTCGAATGCCCGAGGAAATTGCAAATAATAGTGTTTCGTTTGATAATCGACAACTGTGTGTTAGCGGGTGCCCTGAAAAGGAGAGAATTAACTATCAGGAGTTCCTGGCTCTGAGGAAGGATAGGATTGACTCTCTGTCAGAAAGTGAAAAATCCTTCATGCCAAGAGAGCAGGCTGAAGGTATATGTCGAGATTCCAATGTTGTGGATTTTTACTTCGACTCGTGTGTGTTTGACCTCATGACGACTGGGGACAAGAACTTCACTATGGCGGCTGTGAGTGCGCTGCAGGACGTGGTCAAGCTTGACCCATCAGCGGTCAGGTTCTCGGCCAACAGGACCTCTCTAGACAGTTACGATGACCAGTACGGCAATAGTGGTGTTTCAAGGACTAGGACCCCACATGACTATTCGTTGCTTGTGACGGTGACGGTATTCCTGTGTATGTTTTTTTGTCATGAGCATGTTCCAGTATGAACGAATGGGCGAGTGTAGACGACTTTCAAGACAGTACCATTACATTTCGGGGTTATTGTGTTCCCGCCTGTGGCAGGATAAAACCCAGGGCTGATGTCTCTACTCCTATCAACACTTGGCCCCTCACGTCTCCTTGGGGGTCACATCTCCCCCTTGTTGATTCTTAAGGGGCGGTGTGACCCACGTGGTCCAACCTGACCATCACACAGTGGACCAGGATACGTCATTGAGGGAGTTGTTAGCTGTATTAACCTTAGCCCCACATTCACATTGTAACCCTCTGGGCTCAGATATGTCCATGGACTGGAGTCTACAAAAGAAAATGACCAGTTCTCCACGTTTCTTGAAAAGGTTATAAGTCTAATACTACCAAGTTACGATTCGTTATGGTGGTCGTAAAGGACATTTTGTACAAATAGGTCTTGACACGTAATGATGTGTTTCATGTTTAACTTCGTCAAAATTGATATTAATTGTGATGTAATGCAGGTTCAATCTCCAACACCAAATCTTATACAGTCAAACACCGTTGTGTCGAACTTTTGGTGTGTCGAACTTACGGTTGTATCAATGTCAAAGCTTGGTTCCTTCTCTATTTATCATTTTCGGTTGTGTCGAAACTCGGATAACTCGAAGTATTTACGTAGGTCCCTTCAACTTCGACACATTAGTGTTTGACTGTATCTGAGAGTTCTGAACAAGCATTGTCAGATACCAATGCCAGGAGTGTGATGGGTTTTCAATCGTACACCGGTGTTGGTGATATTTTTGAAATACCACATGGAATATTGTCTAAACCAAAATGGAATATTGAATTAAATCTCCCTGGTATCCCCACATGACTCGACTCCCCCTCCCCTTCTCTCTTGACAGAAGCCTGGAACTCAGTCAACACGCAATGCACTCCTGATGCGTCTATTTTTGGCAAGACACAAAATCAATCTGAATGTGATTACGTGGTGCTGTGATCGGTATTTTTGCAGTTGGAATTATTCATAAATATTTTGACCATCTCTTTTCAAAGACTTGCCATTTTCGCTGACGGCATTCTTCAAAACAAAATCTCTTCCGTGATTCGGGGATTGTGCGTGTACGAACGTGACAATCATCAATCCTGTCACGCTGACGTAATCGTCATATCTTGTATGGGGGGATTTTATTTTAAAATTCAGTCTTGATTATACCTTGCAAACACACGAATTGGTCAAAATTTCATGTTGTGTTTTGATGTTTTATGACTCAATCCAGCCGAATGTCAATGAATCAAGTCTATCAAAGTTAGTATGTTACATTGTCCGGGGATGTGTTCGGAAAATAGGACACTTCTTAAAGGAGCGTTCCCATAGCTTTTTTTTCTCCCTGCCTTGCCAGTTGAACCAGTTCCATGTGGTATGATGTTGGTATGAATGTGCAGCTGAATGTAAATAAGATAAGCATTTCCCATTGTGAAGCAATCCCATTATATCTGAGCTCAGTTGGTCGCCCTTCATACATCATTGTACACGTTACGCCAGTGGTGTATGTATATAATATATTGTGTATGAATAAGTAAGATGCGTTGTGACCTCAAACTTGAATCCTAAAGGATCGACACCAAGTACCCCACATCAAGAACCCCACATCATACCTCAATTAACACAATCAGTGGGGGAGGGAGGGGCGGGAGGGAGGGTGGAATATTGTGGCCAGTTTTTACGTGACGTTATAGACCCATGTGCACGTTTTGTTATGGTGCTTATGATAAATAGGCCACCTTATGAACTAATAATTCATATGTTAACTAGCAATAGTTAGGAAGTATTCGTTACTGCAAATCTTGACCATGCAAAACAATGACAGACACACACGTGTGATTCTGGTGTCGTAAGTTCAAACTGAATTAAGAAACACGATTGACAAGACATGCATATTATTTTGTAGTTACTAAAAGGGTAAGAAAGTTTTGTGTTAAAAGGCCATCTGTAAAGATGAACACATGTAAACATTAAATTTGAAATTGAAATTATGATTTGTTTTGAGATTATCAGCTTTTCGTTATGCATTGTCTAATATTGACATTTATCCTTCATATGAATGGCACTGTGCCATAATGTTTCAACATTGTGTGTCCATCAGGCCCGTATAGCTAACATCACTTTAAGTGATATACTAGTACACACGACTGTGGATGCATTTGTTTCTCGTATGGATGAAGATGTTGGTTGAGTGACGGCAACAGACACATCGGTCTGTGATATGAGTAAGCAATATAGACAGTATTGACCTAGGAACACGCCGCAACGAGCAATACACAATGTTATGAATGGTTGATGTATAAGGAGCTTATTTATTTGTTATTTTGTTTGTCTTCAAGTTCACGTAAGAATTGGTCATGGTAGTGCACATTGTGATAAGGTAGACAAACTGTGCAAGACTCGTTTGTTGGCAAGTCCCATAATATATTACAGTAGGGCATTAACACGGATCTTTTATTGCTCTTGTGGGAGGGATGGGGGTGGGGGAGGCGAGGGGAGGGTTTTGTAAATTATGTCAGAGTTCTAATGGTCCGAACTCTTGCCTCGCTATACACAAGAGGTTGGACGACAATTTGAAGTAAACACTATGAATGTTGTGTACTTGTTTTTCATCTTTTTCCAACGAAATGCGATATGGTTGGCCGTTCCATGGATGAGCGCATTTCTCCATTCAGAAGGACAGACGACGATGCAAGCATGGGCCTCTTTATGACATCAACACATTGTCCGGGCCACGTACTGTGGGGAGTAAAACACGGGCATTATAAAAGATCCACTTCTTCAAATGCCGTGTTACGGTTTCGTATTAAACACTTCTGAATGACACTCAACACACAGGGTACCGCTCACTTCCTGTTGTGGAGTACATGGCGAGTCTTCAAAAAACCTTAAAAGTGGTATGTGCTTATACTGTTATTTTCGGCAATTGTCTCAGAAACTACCTATTGCACAGGTGATAATATGCAATACACATCAAAGACGTTACTTCGCTAGTATACTGGATCAGACATGAAAATGTCAAATCTTGTCTGATTTGTTTGTCTTAGATAACACTGTTGCATCAAAATGTTTCACCCACCCAAATATACTTCAATCAACATCCGAATAAACAGTAAACTGCGTTTATAACGAACACGCTTATAACGAACTGACGGATATAACGAACTGTTATTTTGGCCCCGTCCATTTGCTATAGTTATGCTGTATATGTGCTTATAACGAACTACGGTTATTTCGAAATAAATTAAGTGGTCCCTTTAGGTTCGTTATATCCGTAGTTTACTGTACTTCAGTCGTAGGGTACAATCTGTTTTCGCGTTAGCCGTTCATACGTATGCATGTTATATATACATTCACAAACCACCTACACTTCTACACAGTTGAAAGCCTCCATAAAAACCACAGACGTGGTCCTGATCATAAGAATATGGATCAATTAGAAACGATACCCTGTGTAGGAGAGGATAAGGGAGGTGCTTTCTCGCAAAACCATACACGCTGATGGATCCTGCGGATGAAAATAATGTGTGTAATATATACGTTGTTATTCTGTTCCTAAACCAAGTCCTGATGGTAACTCTATCGTGTGGCAGAGGGGGAGCAATTACCATATAAACTGCGCTAAATCTGATCACTTGTCTATGTGGAGTGGTGCCAAGCACATTTAATGGCCAAGAGAGATCGATACGGTTGTGTTGAAGCCGTGGTTTAAGACAGCGTGTGTGCCGTGTTTCTGACAAGGAGAGATTTTCACCATAAACTACCCCCTGCTAATCCCCTCCCAGGAATCGCGACTTTTACTCTAACCAAATGAATGATGGCCTCAATTGTCGAGGCGATTATAGTTTCTTGAAAATATTTTAACTGTCGTTTAGCAGTCCAAAACTATGTATTCAACAGAGTGAGTGAGTTGAGTTCACGCTGCCCGTAGCAATATTCCAGCACAAGATACCACACGTTGAACCGATTTTGGGAATCGAACCCATGTTTATGGTGTGAAAAGCGAACGCCTTTAACCACCCGGCCAGTCCACCACTACTTTAACATAACATTGAGCTGAATGATTGACTTTGTGCCAGAGAGCAAAACCGTTACATACTCTAGCTTGCAATTTGGTCATCTTTGGAAATGTCACTTTTAACGATTGTTTTCGAATTCAAACCGGCTTGATAATATTCGTCAACATGAAACGTCAACGCCAGAGAATATTCAGTCTCGATTATCTGCCGAAGCAGATTCCACTGAAGGCTAATCAGAAGGCAAATTAGTGGTGAAAATTATATGAATGGATCACTAGTTTGACACCAGGTGCTGGAGAATCGGGTTTGCATGGCCCGCTCTGCCGGTAGCACCCGCCTCTCACATAATTTGCATAAAAAGTGTTTGTTGCCATTTCAAATAGATAAAAAAAAGTATAATCCATCGTCAGTATTAATTTTGAAGTGAAATGCCTACAACCCAGAGTGCCACGAGCAATGCAGAGGTGGCGTTATTCGGGTGATGACATACCTCTTTGGTGTAACACCTGGGTATAGGTAATGGAGAGTTGGAGCAATCATGGCATCATGACAACTAACTATAGTAACATGAAAGAATCGGGTGTTTTTTAACCTCTTTTGTGTAGTTTGTATTTTGAAACATAACTGAACTCAACTGAAACGCTTGGCTTCTCAAATCTGAGATCGGGATATAAAAAACCCACATATCTCAAGCACAGGTATTTCGAAAACACTGATTCACTTTCACCAACACGCCTGCTTAATATCGTTGCCCTCACAGACAGGGTGACCACTGACCACCCTATCCACCCCCATCTCCCCAATTTGCAAGTAGATCTGCTGAGCGAGAGAGAGGGAGAGAGAGAGAGAGAGAGAGAGAGCGAGAGAGAGAGAGAGAGACCCTCCCTGAGGTTTATATTACTCAGCTTATTTCTGTTAACGATCTTGCAAAAATTTCCCGATTCCGCCTCAAACCCGGCTGTGCAATGTAAATCACGCTAGCAGGTGCGAGATGCAATGATTCTTCAAAATGAACGTCTAAGCTCAACCGCCTTTCGCTCCGGCGAGAATACGCCACCATTAAGACGTTGAATCCTGCATCAAATGTGGCTCTTTGGAAAATGGCGAGAAGACAATCTTTACTGGTGGCAGGAACCCGACACTCAACTTGCATTACACAGCGTTAGGAACCTTTCTTTTACTGTTTCATGTGATGTGTTTATTGACTGCCATCAACGCATCAGCGATAGCTTGACTCTCAATCACTTTAGCATTTTTAAATTGCTCGAAGGTGTAAAGTACCGACGCAGCCACAAACTTGACAAACTAGAACATTCATCAGCATGAGCATGGCGTAAAACTGCCTGGAATATGTTTTTATGCATACACATTTCGTTCAATCAAGCAAAAGAACCCATAAGTTTAAATCAGAGATTTTCAGTAGGTCGTCTGAAAATTATTATTTGAGACATGGAGATATTTGAATCTGGAAACCGTTACAAAAGTGACGAAAATGACGCAATCCTTTTCAGCTGATTAATAAGCGCTCCACATGTCACCAACCGCACCTTATACCTATTATAATAGATGAAAGAAGAGGATGCTTATCTGGAGTTGTTTCCATTCTAAAATAATTTTAAAATGAATTTAAATTTGACATCAACAGATTGATATTTCGACATCCATAGAAGAGTTATCAGCATATTCATAATTCTTCATCAACATCAATAGATTATTCGACACCAATAGATTCATATTTCGACCATACATCTATAATTCAACAATAAAACCAAAGTTAACACCATATCCCAATTGTGAAATCAATATACCCAATGTTTCGACAGCAAAACCCTTTTCCCACAACAACAGAACCCTATTTCTACATCAATATAATCTGATAACCTAATATGACCCTTTATCGACATGACCTAATCGACAACAACATGACCCTATTTCGATAATATGGCCCTGATCGACAACAACATGACCCCGATCAACAACAACATGACCCTATTTCGATAATATGTCCCTGATCCATAACAACATGACCCTATTTCGACAATAACATGACCCTGATCGACAACAACATGACCCTGACAGACAACAACATGACCCTGATCGACAACAACATGACCCTATTTCGACAACAATATGACCCTATTTCGATAACATGACCCTGATCGACACAACATGACCCTGACAGACAACAATGTGACCCTATTTCGATAATATGACCCTGATCGACAACATTATGACCCTATTTCGATCATATGACCCTGATCGACAACAACATGACCCTATTTCGACAATATGACCCTTTTTCGATAATATGACCCTGCTCGACAACATTATGACCCTGACAGACAACAATATGACCCTGATCGACAACAACATGACCTTTTTCGATAATATGACCCTGATCGACAACAACATGACCCTATTTCGATAATATGACCCTGATCGACAACATCATGACCCTATTTCGATCATATGACCCTGATCGACAACAACATGACCCTATTTCGACAACATTATGACCCTATTTCGACAACAATATGACCCTGATCGACAAGAACATGACTTTTTTCGATAATATGACCCTGATCGACAACAACATAACCCTATTTTGTTAATATGAGCCTGATCGACAACATTTTGACCCTATTTCGACAACAACATGACCCTATTTCGATAATATGACCCTGATCGACAATATTATGACCCTATTTCGACAACAATATGACACTGATCGACAACAATATGATCCTGATCGACAACAACATGACCCTATTTCGACAACAATATGACCCTGATCAACAACAATATAACAACAACATGACCCTATTTCGACAACAATATGACCCTGATCGACAACAACATGACCCTATTTCGACAACAATATGACACTGATCGACAACAATATGATCCTGATCGACAACAACATGACCCTATTTCGGCAACAATATGACCCTGATCGACAACAACATGACGCTATTTCGACAACAATATGACACTGATCGACAACAATATGATCCTGATCGACAACAACATGACCCTATTTCGACAACAATATGACCCTGATCGACAACAATATGACAACAACATGACCCTATTTCGACAACAATATGACCCTGATCGACAACAACATGACCCTATTTCGACAACAATATGACAACAATATGACTCTAATCGACAACAATATGACCCCGATCGACAACAACAAGCACCACAGCAGCAGGGCCCTGTTTGAATAACTGTCCCAACTTTCACCCATTAAAACAGTTATCTTCATCCCGACAGAAGAGTTCATGTGACGCATGCTCCCTCGAAGAACCCGGCCAAAGCTTCAATTTCCTGTCTGTTTCTAACACTTCCAGGAAATATTGTTATCTACAACTTTAACGCATCTTTCCTTTACATTTCAAAACAATTGAAAACTACACACCGAAAGCGTTTCTGTTTTGTTTCAATATTCTATCTCTGCCACTAACAAACTCACAAAAACAAGCCCACAATTAACCCCTCTCATAAAAAAGTCCCAATTTCAAGGCAGGTCTACAACTTCTCGCGCCAGTTGAAGGACAAACGAACCTGCGGCC